CAATCCACTTTGAAATGGTATTATTCTACTTCATCGACCACATAAGAAGCTTAAAACAGTGAAATAACATAAACTCCCCTCTTACTCTGTTCTCTGCTTGTCTTTTTTTCTTTCTGTAGGTTGTACTGTGTAATGTGGTAGCCACTGCCCACATGTGGCTATTTAAGTGTAAAGGTATATTAATTACTGTTAAATACAACTTTAAAACTCAGCTCCTCAGTCACACTAACCACATTTGAAGGGCAGCAGCTTCTGTATCCGACAGGCACATTAGTGCGAGAAGTTGTGCTGGACAGCATCGCTCTAAAACCCACAACGCATTATTGTAACATTTGCCTTAAGCATTCATTCAAAAACCTTTTGAAGAAGTTTGTCTTTTACAGACATACCCCTAGTCACCTTTCTAGGTGTTCTTCGTCCCTCAGTGTGGGCCTGGGGTTCCATCTGGGACCATTTTCCTCTGGCCTGAAGAACCTACTTTGGTATTTTTTTGAAGGCTGGGTCCGCTGACAACATTTTTCTGCTTTTGTTGATCTGAAATGTCTTTCATCACTTAAATGCTGAAGGACAGTGTCTGTTAGGTGTTGGTTCTGGCCTCAGGACGCCTGTTTCAGCGTCCATCTCGGCCCAGGGCTCGGGGGGCGTCCTGCTGAGCCTCCCCAAACGCAACACCTTTCTCCTCTAGCTCGGGACTTTTATCTTTATTTTTAGTTTTCAGCAGTTGGACCATGATGTGCCTCCACGTTATTGTTCTTTGAATTTGTCCTTTTGAGGGTTTGCTGAACTGTTTGGATCTGTGGGTTTACAAGTTCCCATCAGTTTGTAAAATTCTTGTATATTCTCTCCTTAAATAGTTTTCCATTTTATTTCCCCTTCCTTCGGACGTCCTACTTTATGGACATCAGACCCTTTGATCTCACCCCATAGTCCTTAATACTCCTTTTCATCATCTTTTTTTTCTCATTTTCATGTTTTTTTTCCTCTTTGAGTTTTGATTCAGATGATCTCTACTGGTGGGACTCTGGAAGCTCCTCTCTCCAGCTGCACGCGGTCTGTCCGCAACGCCCGTGAGCGCCTCCTTTCAGGCGCCCTGGCTGCTCCTTTGCCCCAGTGTGCAGGGCTCACCCAGGGCGAGGCCTCGCTGGCATGGCAGCTGTCTGCGGGGCACTGAGCCGCGGCCCTTTGCTCCCACACCTCCCTGCCCTGGAAGGCCTCCGGGGTGTGTCCAGCTCTCCCGTGGCCCCAGCAATCAGAAGAGGCTCACAGACCAGCTGGCTGCTCTGGTCCCATTCACGGCTGCGCACTTGTGAATAAGCAGGCTTAATACTGATTATGTGATCCGCTTCGCTTAGGGATTCTCATCACTGGATGTCTGGGAAAAGCCCCAGACACATTATTAAGAAATGAGTCTACAATATAATTCAATGTTTTAGTCTTAATCAAAACTTGCATATATTTCTATTGACTTGATCAATTATATGTTGCTAATAGTTGTGATACTAATTTAATCCAGGAGAAATATTTGTAGCATGAGGCTTATGTTCACAGGAAATTTCAAAATTAAATTTATGTATGTATATGCATGTCTCTCTTTCCATGGATTATCAATAAATTAGGTTCAAGTGTAAACACTTGTTGTATTTAGAATAAAATCTGTGGATGAGTGGAAAGCAATATGGAGGTTCCTCAAAAAACTAAAAATAGAAACACCGTTTGTCCCAGACTCCTAGGAACTTACCCAAAGAAAAGAAGTTCTCAGATTCAAAAAGACATATGCACCCCTATGTTTATCACAGCACTATTTAAATGAATGGATAAAGAAGATGTGGTACATATATATAATGGAATACAATTCAGCCGTAAGAAGAAAACAAATACTACCATTTGCAACAACATGGCTGGAGCTAGAGGGTATTACGCTCAGTGAAATAAGCCAGGCGGAGAAAGACAAGTATCCAATGATTTCCCTCATTTGTGGAGCGCAACAATAAAGCAAAACTGAAGGAACAAAACAGCAGCAGAATCACAGACTCCAAGAAGGGACTGGCTGTTACTAAAGGGGAGGGGTGGGGGAGGGCAGTTGGGGAGGGAGGGAGAAGGGGATTTGTGTGGTATTATGATTAATACACATGGTGTGTGTGGGGGGTCATGGGGAAGACAGTGTAACATAGAGAAGACAAGCAGTGACTCTGTGGCATCTTACTATGCTGATGGACAGTGACTTCAGTGGGGTATGGGGGGGACTTGATAATATGGGTGAATGTGGTAACCACATGTTTTTCATGTGAAACCTTCCTAAGACTGTATATCAGTGATACCCTAATAAAAAAAAATCTGTGGGCGAATTTGAATGGAAATGAGTTTAGGAGAAAAGGATTTAATAGAACTTTTAACAAGAGATTGTTTATAGGTTTATAAAACATACATGGGTTTCAAATCACAAGAGCATTCAGGATCTATTTGATACATTTAAGGAATGATGCCATGGTTTTATTTTAAAAGTCGATACTTACAATATTTGGAAATTACATCAATTGCAACTATTTAAACATGATGGAAAATTTTGCTATTATTGGGTACTTACGCAAAAAGCTTTGAGGACGAGGACTGTGGGGCCAGCTACCTTTTTCTGCAGCCTGAATCATTACAGGATGCACAAATGGGTCTCCCTGTTCTCAGTTTCGTTCCACACAGCAAACAGGTTGATGTTGTTAAAAGTTGAATTGGATCATGTTACCCCTCACTCGAAATGCCCTGTGGTTTCCCATTTCACTTCACGCACAGCCAGGCAGGGCAGCGGGCCCTCCGAAATGCCGCCATCAAGGTTTTCTCTTGCCCCTGATGCACCCAGCATATTCCCGCGCCAGGGCCATCGCCCTTGCCCTTGGCCCATGGGCCGTGGTGGAGCCTGGCTCCTGCCCTTCAGCCAGTGCCCTTCCCTTGGTCGCTAAGTGCTGCCCCTAGGCTGTGCCGTGTGTGCTCACGCGTGTGCTGGGGTGGGTGTCCTCCACAGGTACCACAGGGAAGGTGCCCGTTGGTCAAGCTCTTCCTGCACCTGTGTCTGGCACGTGCCAGGTGCTCAGCTCACGTCCTGGATGAAAGATGAAACCTTTGTAAAACGGGCCTGGGCGGTCCTCTGTGTCTGTTATCAGCTCCTTTACGTAAAGAATGAGATGCTGCCCCCTCATGAGCATCAACTAGGGCCGCTCTTCTCTCAGATGATGGGCTTGCATGCTGGCTTCTTTCTGGTCCTCCTCCTGTCACACAGGCTGGGGAGTGGCTGCCCAGAGCGCTCACTGCTGTCTGTCCAGCCCTGACCTGGCCTGGTATACAGCGCATGCCTACTAAGCACTTGGAACAGATGCCTGTGCCGGTGCGAGCCTTGCCTGTCCCAGAACTTGGTGACTTCTTTCCTTCTAAAACTGTGTGTGCCTTTCCATTTTTACCTGCTTTAGACCTGGCATTGCCCATCTTCTTACCAACGTGCTTGTGTCGACATAGTAAGGGTACAACTGAGACACACTGGTGCAACGCTACAAGCTCATGCTCTTTATATCTGCGGGCCTGGGTTCCCTGCAAATGATGGACGCTCCGTGTTGAGGAAAGCACGTGAAAAGTAGGTGGACACTTCCAATGCCTCGTGTAAGTTTAAGCATATAGCGCTGCTGCAAACTCCATCAGCAACGTTATCACAATGAAACTTCCGACCAGGTGGAGTGGTGGGGGCCCCGGACTGTGCGCACTAAGGCAAAGCCAGGGCCCTGACCACCGGGCCCCAGGAGTTTGGGACAACGCACTCCACAGCCACTTTATCAACAGGAATTCGGAAGCACTCATTATACTCGATCGTACGTAGTTTCATTCGAAGGACTGTTTTGTTTTTAAATGAGAGAATTCCCCAAGTATTATTTACATACTTGTCTCAACATCACCTAACGTGTTTTCAATATATAAACATTTAATGAAATGCTATTTTTTGTCCAGGACGTTCTGGCACACTTGTGGTTCAGAGCAGTTTGTACTATAATTGCAGACACATAGGTGGCAATAAATGGTACATTCGGAGGAACACATTCATTTCCATTTCTCTTAGAATGAGTCGCAGACATGGAAAGAATAAAACTAGCGAACTGGCTGCTCCAACGCCTCCCCCGGGAGCTCTGTCCGGCGGCTCCGGCCCAGAGGGCACTCTCTCCGGCTGTCCGCTGCCCACGCCGGCCCTGTGCACCAGCTTTGCGAGGCCACTGCCCACTCCGCCCCGGCCCCTGGCCCGGCCTGGCCCAGGTTCTTGAGGCCACCGCAGACCCCCGACCAGGCTCTGCGAGGCCCCCCGCGGACCCCAGATCCCGGAGGCCGCCGTCGGTGTCGGGCCTGACGGCGACGCAGCGCGGCCGGCGCCCGGACTACCCGCCGAGCCGCTGGCGCCCGCCCCGGGGTGTGGGATGTGCAGCCCTGGCACCGCACTCGCGAGTTCCCGCCCCGCGTGGGGCGGCGGCGAACCGAACCGCTGCTGGCAGAAGCAGTTCCCAGCCCTGTGCGGGTGAGAGCAGAGCGAAGCGCGCCGCTGGCACCGCGGGCCCGCGCCCCGCTGCTCTGGACGGACGCCCGCCCCGCTCGCCCTGCGCGCGACGACCTTGACCCGCCGCCCGGCCCCGCCCCCGCCTGGCCCGGGGCTGCTCCGCGGATCCCCGGCAGCTTTGCTCCGCCCCGCGTTTTCCAGGCCGCCCGAGGCCGCGCCTGCGCCGGGCGCCGTGGCTGGGCGTGAGGGCGTCCGGCCGGCGTGCCTCGCCATTGGTCCGCCTCCGGTAGCCCCATGCCGTGCGTCGCCCCCATAGGCGAGCGTGGCCGTCCGTCAGCGGGCCCGGCGCCGGCTCGCAGCGCGCCCCGCGTGTCCCGCCCCGCGCCGCCGCTCGTCGCTCGCCGGCCGGCGGCCTCGCGCGGCCCTCAGCTCCGTGGCGGCGGCGGCTGCGGCGGAAGGCGGCCCGGGCCCTCGCAGGCCCATGGCGGCGGCCGCGGCGCTCCCGGGCGCGGGCGGGCCTCCCGCGGGCGGCGGGGCCGGGGGCGGCGGGGGCGCGGGAGGCGGGTCCCCGCCAGGCGGCTGGGCCGTGGCGCGCCTCGAGGGCCGCGAGTTCGAGTACCTGATGAAGAAGCGCTCGGTGACCATCGGGCGCAATTCGTCGCAGGGCTCGGTGGACGTGAGCATGGGCCACTCGAGCTTCATCTCGCGGCGCCACCTGGAGATCTTCACGCCCCCGGGCGGCGGCGGCCATGGCGGGGCGGCCCTGGAGCCGTGCGCGCCGCCCGGGCCCGACGCCGGCGGCGACTTCTACCTGCGCTGCCTTGGCAAGAACGGCGTGTTCGTGGACGGCGTGTTCCAGAGGCGCGGGGCGCCGCCGCTGCAGCTGCCGCGTGTGTGAGTGGGGCCGGGGGCGGGCGCGCGCTGCGGCCTGGCCGGCGGGGCCGGGAACGCGACCCTCGACCGCAGCCGCGCGGCCCGCCGGCACCTAGACCTTGATCCCCGAGCCACAGTCAGGACCAGGTCCAGGCCCCGACCCCCGACCCCCGACCCCCGAGCGGGAGGACCCGGTTCAGGACCCACGCCCGTTGATGAACTGCCGAAAACTGAACCCTCTAATTTTCTTAACTGATGATAGATTGTCTGTTACTTGCTTTTGTTCTGCCCACTTACAGGCC